GGAAAGGCCATTTGTTGGGTTAATTGGGTAGGAGGGGTTGCACCTCAATATTTTTTAAAAGAAAATATTTTAATTTATTGTTAATTTAGATATTAGTCAAATAAGATATTTAACGCTCTTAAATATTTAATATATATTTGTCTTTTTTAATATTTGATCCTAGTTCCTTAATGACGATGTGCGTTGGTATTAAGACTTTAATGTTCATTAAAATTAAAAATTTTATGATATATACTCATTATATCTATAAATATAAAATATTGAAAATCTTTATACTACTAGTATTAATAAGAAAGCCCGTTTTGGGCTTATATTCCCCAACCAAACGCCGCCGTTCAAGGGTCTGGGCACCCGTGTTTTGCAAGGATGGGGTAACTACACTTTAGGTCCCTTCTCCTTTGTAATGCTTATTTAAGTCATTTAATGAAATTATTTACTGTTTTATTTCGAGCCTTTTAGTTTTAATGATTGCATTTCAGTCATTAATTTTTATATTATGTTTGATATTATAATTTGGTTGTGATTTATATTATTTCGTTTTAGTCACTGTTTCAGTTATTGTGCATTTCCTTTGATATTCGGATTTGGTCATGAAATTTGCAAATGTTATATATAGTCATGTTTGTGTTTTATATCATATTTGTCTATATTGATCTGGATTTAATATTTTCAAATATTTCAATTTAATCACTGATCCCATGCATTTTTATTATCTTACTGTTATTTGAATTTGGTCACCATATTCGTATATTCTATTTTAGTCATTGTTTGATGTTTGGTTTAATTACTTGTGATCTTTATGTTTCTGTTTATTTCATTTTAGTCCTTACTCTTTATATTACTACTTTCGTGAATGTTTGAATCTGATCTCGTATTGTGTAATATTTATTTTAATCATGAATAAACTTTGAATTTTTGAATTTTTGGCATCAAGTTCTAATGCTTGTATTTAGTCATTTTCTGTTTTTTAATATATTTGGTTTAATGTCTATTTTATTTTCTTTTGTTTTGGGCATCTATGTTTCTTTGTTATATTTTAGTCCTACTAATGTACGTTATGTCATTTTGTGGATATTTGACTTTGGTCTCAATGTTTGTAATAGTTTCATTTTAGCCTTGATTTTATATGTTAGGTTTTGGTTGATGTTCGAATTTATCCCTGACATTTGTGAATATTTTATTTTAGTCATTATGTATGATTTTATGTACTTGTTATTCGGTATTTGTATTATGCAAATAATGTTCTTAATTTCATTTAACGTAAATATTTTATTTTTGTATTTGCAATTACATTTTTATATTATATTTTATCTATGTATGAATATTTGGTTTATTTTCAAGAACACGTATGCGTAGAATGAGCGTGGAAAGTATCACTTGGTCGAAGTGGGCGATCCCATACGGCATTTAACGACATAGGAACTTGAAATAAATTGAGTATATTTTATTAATTAATTTGTTTAAATGATGCAATGTGTGTAACAATTTACTTATTTTATGTAAACTTCAAATTTTTCATTTTATTTTCGATTCATTTTTTAGTTAATCAATTATTTTGTTGATACAAACGTCAATTTATTTATATTGATTTGCATTTTATCAAGAGGGAAATATTCTTTATGGATAAGAAATAGTCGAGTAGCTTTCCGATTGAGGATTGCTAATTTCGAGATTTCTTTTCGAGTTAAAGAATTTTTTTTAATTATTTAATTCGAAGCAATTAATCAATGTTCGATAAATAGATCATATTTTAACTTATATTCGATTTATAATTTCCACCATTTACAACGATGTGTAAGGACACAGTACCAATTTTGGGCGTTGTGGGAGTGTTACCCTTCCCCGCACGTAACCGACTCCCGAATCCATTTAAATGAATCTTTGGTAACGCAGATCGAATCTTGTTCTTAAAAAATGATTTTTCTTAAAATTGTTTTAAAAGACGTTTTTAGGTATTCAACCTACCTAACCAAAGGTCGATGACGACTCTTTTCAATTTTATTTCAAATTAATCCAAAACCACCAATTTTTTCAAATAAAGTTATAATTGTTTTTAAAAATAATATTTAATTGTTTTACGAAAAAAATGGTTATGACAAAGTTCTTTGAGAGATAGGTTTAACCAGTATTTTCAGACTTTATTTAAACTTCTTCATAGGTTCCTTCATTGAAGTTCATTGAGAGATAGGTTTAACCAGTATTTCAGACTTTAGCTTTAAACTTCTTCATTTTTAACACATGAGTTTATTTTTGCATCCTGTTTTTCATACTAAATTTGGCTTGCTGTTGTTTCCTCTAGGCGGACTTTTCTGAATTCTCCTGCTTCTATGATTTGTTTTCTTCGTGTGCCGAGGAAATGGCCAAAATAATATCAGTAGTTTCTCATGCTAATTAGTTACATGGAATACTTCTACTGATTATCGTTGGAACAACATCGAGGTTATCTAGCTCTAAAATAGTAGGAATTTCCTTGGTTGTATTTAATTCTCTGGCTTTCGTTGTGATTGATAGCTGTAAGCAGGGCGGTTGCTGCATGGAGATTAGTCTTGGCTGGCAGGTTTCGATTGCTTGAAAAATGGTGTAAATATGTTGAGGTATGAGCATGACTGGTACTGAGTTGCTAACAGCCTAAACTTTATGTTCGTCTTGGAGATATCTTGTGACACTATTGGCTGTTGTTCCATGTATACCCTTTAATTTTGGACAGAAGTTTCATCAGAATTGGGATATGATTATAAATGATTTATATTACTGTAATGGGTAGAAGATTTTACATGCATTCGTGCATATAAGGAGTGACATCTGCTGCTCCAGTTTGTCTGTCAGCGAGGGAGAAGCGCTCCATATTTACTTTAGTTGCCTTATACTTGCCTTTGAAAATCCTTATAGTGCATGCCAAGCATTTGAAAATGGATAAGTCTCTTGGACTAAACAATTGTTCCAACACACAAACACACCATAGGTTGAAACCTTCTAATGACTACTTCCAATCTCTTGATTAATGCAACTAATGTCTTTGATTTCCTCAGGAAAATCAACGTCACAATATTTCGGAGGATACTTGGCAGCAAGTTTTAGCTTTTAGTAGGTGTGTACATGAAAATCTGGAAGGCTATGATCCTGAAGGTATTAAGCTTCCCTAAATCTGCCCTATCCCCTGTCTTGTATCTGTGCGACTTGGATCTTAGTTGTCTGGTTTTTTTCCAGGTGCTTGGCCTGTTCTGATTGATGACTTTGTGGAGCATATGTACAGGTTTGGTTTGATACTTCAGCATTTTATGTGATTATGGGAATCCTTGTGGCTAATTTCTAATTCATTGGTTTATTTTAGGCTATAACTCTGAGTTCTATTGTGATCGTTTTAATATATTCCAACTCTTTATTTTCCTGAAGTATCAGAGTCCAATCCTAGTGTTCAGTATATATTTGGACATGAGTATAGGAGTACGGTCTTTGAAATATATGAAAAAACAGTTAAGCTTACCCATGTTAGACGTATACTCGTCCCTAATACTTAACCCTTGAGTCTAAGCAACATAGATTTTATCCTTTTGTTTTATTGTCCTACTTTTTAAGTTCTAATCTTTTCGTTTTTTGTAGTTTACTGAATAACTCTTATAAGATCACTTGCCCATGTTCATTTTGCATTGACTGATTGACAACCATGCCTTGTGTCATTTTGTCATTCATGGTGCCGATATTCCGGAATGTTCTAATAAAAATAAGGATTAATGTACCTTTTGACCCCCCGACTTTGGCATTAAGCTGCAATTTGACCTGATTTTTTTGGGGTGCAATTTAGCACCTGGCTTTGGCTTTGATATACATTTTGACCCTAATTATTTTTGTACAATTTTAAAATGATGATTAATATTTTTATTTATAAATTTAAAATTATCTGAAGTGTTAAAGATTTATACTGCACATTTAATACAAATTCAAAATTTTAATAAGGAAAAAACTACCAGAAAAATATATCGAAGTCAAGGGCCAAAAGTTGCATTAACCTTTAAACTAATGCTACTGCATGCACACTATACATAGATGCCTGAAATCCCTTATCCCAGCTTGCTCCCCACTGCAGAATTTCGGGATCCAACAAAGATTCAAACGTTTTTTGTTGCTGTGTTGATTTGGAGTCGCAGTCGTCTGCATACGAGGACACTTTGCCTGGTATGTCGTATACTAGCTTTCACATTTACCTTTGTATAAGTTTCCTGCAAATATGGAAATTGTAATGACATAACATAACGCGGCAGGATTAAGGATATATCCTGGGATGAAGAGGAAATTGCCTGAATGCCTAGACGATGAAATGGAGTCTATCGATTCGCACTTCTTGAACTCGCCAGACCTGAATTGCTCATTGAATTCTAAGAGAAGTAAGTTGATTGCACACCGATCGGTTAATAGGGAAGATAATCCTCCCCGGAATTCAACTGATGATTGCATGGAAATTGCCAAACACAGTAGTCCGATGTGTTCCTCGAAGTCTCCTTGTGCAATTGAAGGTTGCCTATCAAAGGGTTTCACAGGGCTCTTATCGAGTTGCTCCTATTTTGCAGTTTGTCCCGGAAGAATTCCCTGTAACACGAGTTCACATCCGAGTATAATATAGAACAGAATGTTTCCTTTGCAAGCCCACGATTTAGATGTATTAAAATCTCTGCAACTCCTATTTTTCGGATGATTTTGTGGGTTAATTTCCTAATGTTTGTATGTCTGATGCATTATCCCTGTCCTTATCTGTTGTTTTCCAGAATAATTATATTAGATTTGCTTTCAATCTCCAGCATTTTTGTTTCCCTTTCATTTATCTCACTGTTGAGGTTGAGCATCGAAGAAAATCAATGATTTAATGTAATACCTCCATAAATCACAAGAAAGAAAAATACAAAATCAGTAACAGCGGAACATTCTTCTGCAGGGACTGTCGAAGAAATTTATTCTTACAAAAACATTTGATATTATTATCTATCTATACTAAGACACTAAATTCATCAAGCAGCCATGCAACCAACACCAAATCTAGTTTTGGGAAACACAAGAAACAGCCACTGCAAATAATCCCCACCATCAAGGGGAAACCCTCCATAACTTGATCCATCTCCTTCTCGTGTCCTGGAAAAACACAGTTGGTAACTCTATGATCCGAGAAAGCGATCGCCATGAACACCAACACCGACATGACAGCATGAATGAAATCTGTGAGTCCGACCTTGTACTTGTCGTCTTTCGGAGATTCGACTTCGAGACCAGGCTTGAAAAGGGCCAGTCCGTTGGGCGTGACGAAACCGTAGTAAACCGTCCCGTCCGGGCCTCGGAAACTATCGGTAAAATGGAAGAAGAAGCAAGAGACCGCGCAAAGGCCCAAGAGGGAGTAAATCATCATGGTGGTAACATGGGTGCAAGCACCGTGACGGTAAACAGAAGGCAGAACCAACTCGAAGGTTAAAAGGGTGCCTGTTGGTAGGAAGTTGACAAGCATGGAGGTTTTTGATATGGTTTTTTGAACCCCTTTGGCCACGACCCTCCTCTTGCGGCCGGGTTCCGAAGGCAGGCGAGGGAGGGAGGAGGAGGTTGTAGGGTTCTCATGTGGTGGTGTTGCAGTGTAAACTTTAATACCAATTCCGTGGTCAGTTTCCTCCATTTTTTTTTCAGAACAGATAAACAGCCTGATGGTAAAGAATTGAAAGTTTTTGGGGGTGATGATTTGATATTTAAAGGCGTTTCAAATTTGGAACTTTATTTACAAGGTGGTTACTGACAGTTAAGGAGTTTGTATCAATGGTAACTATGATAAATTGAAAATCAACGTTCAAACCTTCTCCCCTTCAGTTTGATTTGAATTAATGCATTATGTGTTGTAACAAAATAATGCATATACAAAACCGTTGGTGTTTAAAACTTGCCAATTTTTTCTAAAACAGATGTATAAGTACCAAATGAAGCCACTGCAACACTCATCAAATGATCAGGCTTACTGCAACCATTTCGCCGTTGAATCTTCGGTAAATTCCCGATATCTTCAAGTAGCAGACGCATGGTAGAGTGACCGAAGCCGTGATACTTAAGAACGCTCCAACTAAGGACATGAGGAAGCCAAAAAAGGGAACCGCAAGAGCCACCAAAACGGTGCTGATCACCAGGGTGGTGCCGGCAAAGACGTGGAGCACTCGCTTCTCAATTCGATACCAACTCAGGCTCTTAACGGTATTCACAATCGGTTTAACCATCAATTCATATTTCGATATGGGGTTGACCAGGGTGGTATATATTGCAATCCTTGAACTGAGTTTGTCAGTAGGAAGGTTCAGAGTTATCTGTGATTGAACATCTGATCCGAACATTAAGTACCCAAAAATCGCCATGGACGAGTAACAGATGGTACACAAGACAAAGCAGACAAACAAGACCTAAAAGAAACCAGACAAATTCACTTCAAAACCAGTCAGACAATTGCAGAAATTACAAGATACAGACACTTCATACTTACACTGGAGAATTGGTTCCTTTTTTTCATTGAAGTGTAAAGGGTAGGGAAAACTGGATGAGTGCAATAACAAAAGGCATATAAGCTAACTGCAGTGGGAATTCCATTACAATCTTTCCCTTTTGTTTAAACCCGATACCATCAAAAGCACCGGTCCAGATGATCGAAACCAAGATGATTGCAGAAGCCAAAACCCCACTGGCTTACACGTAAGACAAGAGGCCCAAGTTATCCAACCAAACAGTAGGCAAAATTATGAGAGCTACGATCATAATAAACCCTGGTTTCCCACCGACTGTTAGTCCTCCAACTTGAAACTCTCCAATGGGTAACAAGTTATGCAAGTTATCTCCTTCGAGAATCAGAAAACCAGCAGCCACTAAGTAGAGCTCGATGTTCATAACGATCGATGCTGTAAGTCTCCCTTTGTTCCCGAATGCACGCTCGCCTATGTTGGGATAAGTTGTGATTCTTGGATCTGTGCCCAACTGTCCATGCATCTTTGAATCAGCAAGGCCGAGTAGAATGCACAAGCAGCTATGACAACCATCCACCTGATGCCAGTGCATATGGGATATACAATATCCCTACTCCTGTATAGAAAAATGGGTTTTCTTTTCATATATATATATAAACCAAATGATCAACATGTTGAAAACTGAAGAAGGAAGGAAGAAAAGTGGACCTGAAAGAGCATTGAGGCCATTGAAACAGGTTCTGGAAAGAGAGACTGTGGTTGCTGCACTGTTATGATGCTCTAATTCCTTTACTTGTTTGTTGTCTTCTTCAAGGAGAGGCACAGTGAAGGATAATTCCTCATGTGACATCACCTTTCTCCAGTGATGGAAACAGAGAAAATCTTAAATTTCAAGCGGCTTCTTGGTTGACGCTTCGATTTGTAAAAAGGTTTCCAATCACTCATTTTCTTCTTAATGCTATCCACGCATGTAACGTAAAACATTTTTACATCTTTTAGATTATTGAATTAACCGAGTGACACATAGGTTAATAATATAAATTTTTTAAATGGGATGAGTCTAAATAAAATTTCAGACGGGCACCGTCCGTAAATAAGTAACTAATCGAAGAAAACTAAAATTTTAAAGTGGACATCATTAATAAAATAAGTAACTAATCGAAGGAAACTCAAATTTTAAAGTAGGCACGTGTTCACTCTCACTAATACGTGACTCCACCACTGAAATTATTCCAATTTAATATTACTATTAACTATTCATTTACATATCTATTATACTCCCACTATGTGGGTGAAAATAATAAAATTACTCTTTTAAGTGTGTGGTTGGAAGGAGTAATTATATATATTATTAAGTTAAGGAGATTGTAAACTAATATTTGTTCTAATTTTTTTTAATTATTTGATAATGAATACCTAATTACACTCGTTATAGTCACTGATACTTGAATCTAACAATTGTAAAAATAATAACTTTTCATTTAACCACTGAAATAATTTAATTCGTGTCATGATGATACACCTTTTTCTTGTAAGTTTGAATATTTGAGTCATTGGAGGGAAAAAACATTTTTAAGATAAAGGTTTAATAATATAATAATTTATTATTTTTAAATAAGGAAGTTATTCAAGTGGACGGATAGTTTTCCCTTTTTCTTATACAAAATTTTGGTAAATTTTTAAAGAGAAAAAGGAAGTTAGTGAAGGATTTTTTATTATTATTTCAAATAAGGCAGTTAATAGATGTTTTTTTAATAGGGTTAGTTTTTATTTTATTTTTTATGTTACTACGTTATTTTTTATTTTTTAAATAAATTCATGTAGTCTAATTCAATCAAAATCATTATATATCATAAATATAGATATATATTGAAATTACAAAAATATTTAATAACTCAATCTAAATGTTTTTTTTTTATAGAAGCTACTAATTTTATTCAAAATAGGAAATATCCCAAATTATAAATATTTACATTCAAAATTGTAAAATAAGCAATTAATTAGAAAATTTTCCTATAATCATTGAAATAAAACTAGTAACTTAAGATCGCATAAAGACCATACAAAGAAAGATTAAATCTAACCAAGAAACTAGAACAAATATAGATACAAACATATCTGATCGCATAGGCAAAGAAACCGCAAAAGGAGATAAAGCTATTGAAAGACTATCGACAAACTGTAAATCAAACTCGAACGACCTGAAAAGCTATCCAAACACAAATTAGGTATCTAAATCTAATCCGAGTGTCCAAAGCAAGAAATATCACAAGATATTAGGTAAGCGTCATCTTGATCCGTCGTGGCGATGTCAAAAAGCATAAGATAACGTGTCATAAAGGCAGATGAAAACGTACTACACATACAAACTTATTGAAAATCAAAAAATAAAATAAAAATAAAGATACAATATAAAAAGAGAAAATAACCTCAGTGACCAAAAATCTATAATATAAGATTTTAACCAACTTTTTCCGGATTTGCCAAAATGACCAACAAAATCGCAATGCGATCGCTAATTCGCAACGCGATCTCCATTATCGCAAATTCGCGTTGCATTTTCGCAAATTCGCGTTGCATTTTTGCAATGCGATAGTTGAAAATCGCGTTGCGATGGTCTACAGTATCGTTGTGATTTTCCCAATTCGCAATGCGAATAAGTAAATCGCAACGCGAATTGGGAAAATCGCAATGCGATACTGACTATCGCAATGCGATACTTACTATCGCAATGCGATAATACAAAATCGCAACGAGATACTGACTTTCGCAACGCGATTCTGACTTTCGCAACGTGATTTACATAGCGCCATTCGTATTAACGCGTATTTTTTTTTCAAATTCCAAAGACGAATTTTTTCTTAATAAATCGGAAACTGAACCGTCCACAGTAATCGCAACTCATAACCTCAAACCCAAAAACACAACACTCAGCCCCATCTCCATCTCTCACTCTCTACGGCAAAATCCGTCCCCATCTCCGAAGATTTCCGTCCCCATCGCCGGCGAAATCCCTCACAACCATTCACAGTCAAAAATCCTCACAATCATTCAGAAATGGAAAATCAACCTCCGAAGGTTAGTTTTTTTTATTTTATTTTGAAATTTTTGCATTATTTTAGGTTTTTCATATTGAGATTGATGATAAGTTTACTGGTAATTTCAATAATAGATTAATCATTTCACTTAGATTTCTTATTAAATTCATTCGATTACTGCCAATACTGCTAAACTGTTTAGCCTGTGAAGTTAGTATTTGTCTTTGCTTTGTCTTTTGGTTGAAGTAATGCAGAAGAAGAATAGTTTCGAGAATGAAAATCGCAACGCGGAAATAACTATCGCAACGCGAAATAAAAATTCGCAACGCGAAACCAAAATCGCATTGCGATTTTCATTTCGTGTTGCGATTTTTATTTCGCAGTTGCGATTTTCATTTCGCGTTGCGATTGTCTGGTCGCGATAGTCATTTCGCGTTGCGATTCTCTCGTTGCGATAGTCATTTCCGCGTTGCGATTCTCATTATCTCGTTGCGATTTTCATTTCAACAAAAAGACAAAAACAGTGTTGCAAATTTTAGTTTCAAGAATAAACTACTATTTATGTTTATTGTTTTGTTTTTGGTATATCTTGACAGTGTAATTTTTGGTATATCTAACTTGGTATGTTATTGTTTTTTGTTAGAAATTTTTTTCGGCTTCATTGACATTAAGGAATAAAGTTAGCCTAGCCACTACAATTGCTTCGAAGCTTTCACCTGCACAAAGAAAATTGTTTGAAGAAACCTGCTTCGGGCCATGGCTGAGAGTACAACATCCGGGTGGAGATGCTAGTTTGACCCATTTGTGGCTTCAGACCATGACTAGCGATCTACCCGACAGTATATAACGTGGTGAGGAAGAGATATGGTTTCATTTTCCACCGGCGTATACTTGTTTTGGGCGGAAGGAGTTCTGCTTAATCACTGGTCTACGATTCGGACACGATGATGTAGGCCGGTACACTCGTCATATCACCCGCCCATCATGGTTATCCAGGGTTTTTCCTGATGAGTCAATAGAGAAGCCGAACTTACACGTCGACGACATGAAGAAATTGTTTAATAAGAAAGATGGTTTTACTCGGATGAATGACGTCGATGTTGTTCGAGTATGCCTTCTACTACTTTTGTATGCCGGCTTTT